GATGCCACAGGGGAGCGTGCGGACAACTGGCAGCAACTGCCGCAGCGCAAACAAGATTAATTAAGGAATGTAAATTTTGTAAAATTACGCGCCATTGTTTGACTCTATCTCTCTCTCTCTCTCTCTCTGCCACCCTCTCTCTTTCTCTCTCTCTTGGTATCTGTGTGTGTGTGTGTGTGTGTGTGTGCGAAAAGGGTGTTGAGATTTTTTCCATTAACAACATCATCAATGGGTGGCAGACAGGTCGCGGGTCGCAAGGTCGAAAGGTGTCCCTGCCTTGGGTCGCTGCAGGCTCCATGAAAGAGAGGGTAATGGAGGTTTGCTTCTCTCTCTATATCTCTCTGGCTTTGGGCACACCTTCCACTGCATATACCTTGCGTCCGACCGTATTTGTTTTTGTGACGAGTTGTTGGTGGAGTTTAGCGGATTTTGTGGAGCTGGGAGCTTAGCCGGCATTCAATTTCAGCCTCCACACGGACTCTGGTTCTGGTTCTGGCAGTGCCGGCTCCTCTTCTGCTTCTGCTGTTGTCAGTCGCCGCATGAGGCATTCGAAGGGTTGGCCAACATTTTTAATTAGTGTCGTCAGCGTCAATGTTGTCCTTGTTCCTGCGGTTGCCTTGAACCCAGAACCCAGGAACCCTTTGTGTATTGTGGCAGTGCCACTGCCACTGCCACAGGCACATGCATAAATTATATTTCCACGCCACGAGGAAATTTCTAATAAAGCCAAAAATCGGTTGCAGGGGAATCCCCAAGATCTGTGTGCTGTGTGTGGCAAGCGAAATTGTGAAACTTTCCCAACTACCGCCTGCTGTGCACTGCTGTATATTGCAACATACGAGTACGAGTAGGAGTACTGTGCGTGTTTTTCCTGTTTTCCCCGACGTTTCCCATTCCCACTGTCCATTTCGGGGCATTGTTTACAAACGTGTCGAAATGCTGCTGCAGCATCGGGGTCCAGTCTCGTGCTGGCCTGCGTCTTCTTTTGGTTCAAACCTTTAAATAAACTCTATGTGTCTGAGGCTCCGATTGTGCAACGCTTTTGTTTGATGTTTCACTTTGTTGCACATGTGCCTCATGGCTTTATTGAAAGTGAGAGAGAGAGAGAGGGCGGGGAGATAAACAGAGAAAGATGTTCGTGGAAGACGATCCATCTATCAATCAGAGGCCAAACGTAATTCTGACAGCCCTGAAATCGTGTAAAGCGTAATCTCGGACTAACCAAAAATCACTCTTCCATATCCTTGTCTCTTGTCTCCCTCTGATGTGTCTGCCACTGTTATCTGAGGCATGAATGATGGCACTCAAATTACATTAAATGGAATTTCAATTGAGCCAAAAGACTGCCCTGCCTGGCCCGGCCCCTCGCTTCAGCCACTAACAATGGGGATGACAAGACAATGGCGAGGCAGAGGCAAGAACAGAACAGAACAGACACGACACAGAAATCGAAATGGAAACAGTAAATGGCATTTACATGTTCCCTGTCATAAGACTCCAAGAAGGGGCAGGGTGGCAGAGCGGCAGAGTGGAACCAATTTAATGAATCAGCATCATCATCAGCAACAGATTCAGATTCCACATCAGCACCATATCCACGCTCCATCCACAGTCAGCCTCCTGTGTGGATAGGCCTCCAATGACTGCAGATACCAGAGAAGCCGCTGCAGCTGCAACTCTGCCAGAGTGCCACACGGCCACTGCCTGTACTCCAATCAGACAAATGCAATTAGGATTTGGCGACGCTTTCGCTGTCGCTCGTGTTGAAAATTCTAAGCATGCCGCATCAGCAACATCAGCAGCGGCTGCGTTTGATTTTCTTCTGTGGCAGCCACAACCATGGGGATGCAACAAGCCGCAGCGAGGAGCGCCACCAGGGACTCGGACATGAGAGACACCGAAATGACGAATGATCCACAAGGACCTGCTTCGACCAGTGATTGGCGACACGGGAGACCTTAAACCAGTAGAAAACAGAGTCAAATAATCACCGAAATGACGATTGATCTTGTATGCAAAAGGAAATCACTCAAAGAATCTATGGATGACTCTCGAGTGGAGAGAAGGAGCTTCTAATTAAAGCTCGCGCTCATATTAAATGCTTTCATAAAACTGCTTTAAGACATCAGTTCCTCTCTCTCCCACTCGACGCTTTCTACTCTCCAAGCACTCTGCGCCTCTGTCTCTACTTTCGCTGCTCGCTCGTCTTGGCAGCTCTCAATTAAATATTTAACTTTAAGAAATGTAATTTCAATTAGCGCCACAGAGCATTCAGCTTTCAGCCATTAGCTGTGCCGTTGAGAGAATGCCGGGATTTGTGCCAATTGCGAAACACAGAATGGCATGGCGGATGCCAGAGAGAGCAGCAAAAACAAATCTGAAATGAATGAACAAACAGCTGAAGCGGTGTGGCGGGAGAGGATGAATGCCAGAAGAGGTTGGGGAAGAAGAAAAGCACACAATTCGGACACCCGCGCCTCTCACTCACTCACTCGCTCAAAATCATTACGTGATTAAGGTTGCCGTTACGTCTGGGGGGAAGGCAAAAATAGAAAACTAGAGCATGGCACGCAGACAGCAATGCATCAGATGAGAGGGGGAGCAGAGCAGGAGATTCTGCGGCAGCTGCAGAGGGGGGGGAGGGACGGCAGCAGAACGACCGCAATTGCGCGCTCGTGAAAATAAAAGCAAAAAAAGAAGAGCGAAAAAAAAACGGCAAATAGAAATAAATAAATCAGTGACACGGCGAAGAAGCAATAGGAAAGAGTGCGGGGTGTGGAAAAAGGACAGACCAAGAGGCACAAGGTAAATTAGGTAGAAGGTAAGGCAGTCCTACTCTACAGACACCCTGCCTTAGGACTCTCTTTCGCAAAGCCTTACCATCCGTTGAATACTCTTTGAGCAGAGTGAGAGAGACAGAGAGACGGACAAACACTTCGCCTTCGCCGCACAAAAACAATTAAAATGAAAAACCGTAAGCACTCTAATTCCATGGCCAAACGTGCAGGGACAGTAAAAGAAGCACCGCGATAGGGGGCGAGGGAGAGGAGTCACAGGAGAGCAAGCATGTCCCCTGTTGGAAATTTGTATGCTCTGGCCGCACGAGCGAACAAAATGGTTTGAAAACAAATTTGCCGATCTAATTAAAAGCTAAATTGTGAGCATTAAACGGGGTACGGCACTCCACTGGGTCTCGCTCTCCGACTCGGTCCTCTCGCTCTAACTCACAGCAAATTTAAGTGAGTCCCTAACGGGACAGCCAGCACATGGAAAAACATTGAAAAGCATTTAAGTCGCCCCTCGCTTGACCTCTCTCTCTCTCTTCCTTTCTCCCTTTTTGCATTTTCCCTGTGCTCTGTGCCTTTCAACAAGTTGGAAACCAATGCAATTTACGGCTGCTCTTCATCAGGCGGGGCGGAGAGCTGCAGAACAAGGACATGGCCATTACTGGGCCAACAGGGGAATAGAAAAAAGTATGCCAAGCCCCCACGCTGACCGCAACAGTCCGGCACGGCACATTGATGGTAGCTGGAGACTGCACTGCACTGCAATGCGATTGCTACTCCGACTCCACTCCGTATGCGGATACGGATGTCTGGCAAATTGTAAATTAATTGATGAAAGCATCGTTTAGAAGCGGACAGAACAGGGACAAACTCGGGCAAACTCAAGTGAGCCCGGACCCGGAACCGAACCGAAACCCAGTCCAACCCGGTCCAGGGCCACACAATATTTGAGCTGCATTTGGCATGTGGAACTGGAGAACGCAATGAGAGGAACAGGGAGACAGAGAGTGAGATGGGGCAGACAGGCACAGAGACCTGGAGGAACACTGACAAATTGCTGGTAGCAAGATTAATGCTGTGCATTATCTTTCCTCATTTGTCGATTGTCAATGCAACTGGGCCGCGTCCACAGCAGAGCTGTATAGTTGGAGAATCGGAGAGAACCGTAGCACAACGGCAACAACAAGGAGAGCACGCTCCAGGGCGTGGCAGCTTACCTTTTACCTGTTTTCCTTCCATTTCAATCGCCTGTCTTTCACATTGTTCTCCGCCTCCCTGCTGCCGACTGCTCTCTGATTTCCCATTTTCCTCTATCGTCGACATTTTTCAATTTGATGATGCGCGCTCTCAAGGCAACAACATTGTGGGCGTCCTTTTCCCTTTTTTTGTCCCACTTTTAATGTCGACTGGCAGGGATGCAGGTAATTTCATTTTTATATTAATGACAGCGCTGGGCATTTTCTACGTTTGATGCGACTGCGTCGCGACGTTAATCATTTAAGAGTCTTAAATGGAGGAAAACACTCGGCCATATGGGGCCCACTTAATGGAGACATGCAGCTGGCAGCTGCAGAAAATATTCGCGAAAATAAATAAAATTCAACGAAAAAAAGTAATTAGGTAAATCATCGATAATTCGCGTGACATGTCAATCGATGGTTAGCCAAGAGCTAACTTGTTGTTTTGCTGGTGGAAATGGCTGTATTAGCTGATTAAATTTGAGGGGCATTTTCGCAAACTAGCTAAACCTAGCTAAACTATATTCACGACGACCGATTTGATTACACAAAACAGCCAATTGTGAATGGGCCCCATTGCTTATTGTGAATGGAATTAACCTGTCCATGTATCGATAGCCTATCGATCGAAAGGTTGTTCTGCTTAGGGCCCTTTTTGTTATGTTAAATTTTTGAATGTTTTATTAAAAAGGTGCTGTGCAATTAATCTTACAACAAGTGCAGGTACCAGCTGAGCATTTGAAATCTATACTTTTATTTTTGTTTAGGCTGTAAGTGGACCCATGTGCTGGTGTTTTATATTTGATTTGATTGATTTGAATGATTTGACATTCCCGCCCAAATTGTGAATGCACCTCCAATCGCATACCCAGTATCGATACCGTGTCGATATGTGTTGATCAGCTGCCGCTAAAAAGTTGTGTTCCCGCGGTTTTTTACTAATTATTGGAGAATTTTAAGTTTAATTGGTGTGAAAGTTAAGTTTAATGAGTTTAATATGAATTGCAAGTCTTTGTCAAGCAGTGAGTGTTTTTTGTTTTGTGCAAATCCAAGAAAAACCGGTATATAGCGACGCAGATTCATAGATGCATGTGCTCTGTTGAGGACTACTCCTGAAAGGTAAGGTTTACACCTAAAACTTGTGAAACTTTAACAGCATTTCTGATTCCCCATTCAGGTAGGAGAGACGCTGAAACTTCCCATTAACTCAGAGGCGGTGAGTGTGGCATTTTCTTTGTTTTTCCCTGCACACACAAGACACTGATCCCTTTTACATGCATCGCACGCGGTCCCGCACGATAGGGAATGCTACCAATTAGCAGACGTAGTACCCAGTCCTGGCCCTGGCTCTGGCCCTAACAAAAAAAGGAAACAATATGTTCGGCTGAGCTGAAACAACTGCAGGCAGAAATCTAAATCCCGGTCAGGACAGTAGCAGGAGCAGGCACAGGGGTAGGCAATGGCCATGGCATTCCGGATGTGCCTGTTGGTCGTCGAAACTAGCGAACTTTCCAGACAGAACAATACCATGCCCCCGTCGACGAGTGTTGGCTGGAATTTTAGGTCTAAATCCTGTTGGGTCATAAAAAGTGCTTATTACATTATCACCTCAAGCGTGGCTGAGCCGGCTATGGGCTCTGCCCCACCCACACCCACTCCCGGACCAGCACAGCACACAAACAGACATTGACTTGTCCGCCCTTTCCTTTCCTCACCAAAAACCGATTCACTTGCTCTCTGGTACTGATTTTTGTTAGGGTTTTGGCTTTATTATGGCTCTGGCAGCTGCGTTTTTCAATTTTCGCTTTTTTTCGGCCTCTGGGCCTCTCACCTGAGAGCTCTGAGCCTTGAGCCGATTTGGTTCGGTTTGAGAGTGGGTTTGGTTTTGAGTTTGGGTTTGGGCTCGGATAGCTGCTGGCAGCCGTAGTCACTTATTGGCAAATGTTTCGCAGCCAAAAAGAAGGAAGGACCACGTGGCGATGGAGGAGCAGGTGGAGGACCAGGAGCAGCCCGTGCAGGAGCTGGAGCGGAAATGCGAAAAATGTGTAAATTTCGGCTTGCTTTTATTTCTCGCATTTTCGCCCCGTGATGATGTGTAGGTCGCTGATCCGCTTTGGCAGCGCACCAAGGTTCGAGTTCATTCAATTTGGATTAAGTCGTTCGTGTTGATTAACAAAATTGACTTTTTTCCCCAGACTTGCCAGACTTTCGAGGCGGCATTCGAGTCGCCACCGGAACCCATTTGAGAACAGTTTCGAGAGAGCACTGGGAGTCCCTGGATCGATGGCGACAGGCCGCAGCTGCGGACCATTTAGAAGACCATGCCGGAGACGTTTAGTAAATATTCAATCAATTTAGATTGACGGCCCCAGTCGATATAATAAATCACAAGCAAAATCAAGAAGGTCTCCATTTCAGGGCTGTGTTTTGTGGAGTCGGACATGGAGACGAGATATGCGTCATAACAATAAAAATTCTGGCATTTCCCATTTCCCCGCTGTGCGGCTAAATAACGAAAATAAACAAGACAAGTCGACAGGCCATAATATATCATGGCCCAAAGGCGCTCGACGATACACACACACACAGGCACACATAGGACCAAACTGGAGCAGATCAAGCAGAAGCAGCGGCTGTAGTCTGTGGCAGGACATCGAGCGCCGTCGCCCGTAATGGCTGTCATGGGGATGGCTCCCGTTCGGCTTCTGGCCCTGGCCCTATCTCTGCCTCGTCTGCGTTAACTGAGAATCAATAACATATCGTCATGGCAAATACGCATGCCCTCGGGGGACGGTGAGGGAGATTGAGCCATAAAAACCGAGGAATAAAATAATAACCAGGATAATACACCAAGCATATGTCATGTCAATGATGCAGCCATTAGCGACAAATCCCGCCAGCGAGAGGAGGCTATAAATCTGATCCGATTACCTGGAGCTAATTGCCAGACAAACTTCTCTCACTCTCGCTCTCTAGTCTAAGCCCTCGCCAAATGGGAAGGGGAAGAGTTGCTCTACTGCCGAGTAAGACACTAAAAATTCTCGCCGGATACAGCCTGGAGCGAGGGCTCCAACCAGGGCTCCAAGCTACTAGCCACAATGTAAGTTTGGCTCATAATTTATTTCGATTACGCCGCTGCACGCAATTTGCTCTGGTCATATCCTTTTAGCACACGCACGCACAGGAAGTGGCGATAGCCAGAGAACCAGCCAACAGGAGCCAAAGCCGGGGAGTAGGGAAGTAGGGGAGCAAGGAGTCCGAGGAGGATGCCAGATAAGTGTGCGCGCAATTTCCGTTTCCGCTTGGCTTGCCGTTATCCAGCTTTGATGCTGCGAAAATCCACTAAGCAACAATTAAATCAGAGACTCCAGCGAGCGTGGAAAGCAGCTCAGAGCCAGAGCCACAGCCACAGAGAGGAGATAAGGCCACATACCCGAGCAGTGACTCAGACAGAGAGGCGGACCAGCAAGAGATATCAATTCGAGGATTGGGAAAACAGAGACAGAACAGAGACAAAAGTCGAAGGCCTTCCAGGTAGCCAAATGCAAATGAATCATGTCCGTGGAGCAGGAAGGAAGAGGCAGAGGCAGGTATCATGCATTAGCTGACTATTATCACGGCCCGAAAGAGTTTCCAAACCCCCTTTCCCCATTCCCTCACCGAACCATTGAGCACTTTAAACGTTTACGTTTCGGATTTCGTTGTTTTTTTTGTGGAACGAAACCTTAGAACTTATAAATATTTATGGCGCACATAATGCAGCGCGTTGAGCACGGCCAATAATTCCTTGGCTTGGACTCGAGTCGAGTCGAGCGGTGCTTACTCCTTGCTATCGGGACAAGGGATTCGTAACTCGAGCGTGTATGCAGCTCCGGCTCTGGCTCTGGCTCTGGGTGCAGCGGAGCGAGCATTTTCCACTGAAGGATTTATGCTCGCTGACATGCAACTTAAAAGCAAGGACAACAAAACGGCTGCAGATAGCACACACAAACCCACAGACACACACACATCCCACATCCTGCTAAGGAGCCAGCGAAGGAGCCATTTCTCTCCGCACAAGGATGCGAGTGCGAAGGCGAATGCTTTTCTTGTGTGAAGTGCAGTTGGGAACAACAATTGGGAAAAATATGCTGAACGCAAGGATTAGGAGCAGCAGAAGCAGAGGAAAAGCAGAACAAATTTATGTGACTTTTGCATGCGGCTGCAGCAGGATGCTGGAAGGAGGCCGCAAGCCTGCAAACTGGCTAGACATTAGTACAATTTCCGGTCCAGGCCACAAAATATTCAATAATATATTAAAGATATAGCCAGCCATCCAGCCAGGCCGAAAGAGATATCCAACAGACACAGAGAGGAAGAGGCATGAGGCACGAGGCACGAATTCGACAACTCAACTGAAGCGTAGCAGGCAGGATAAATCTAAATAAGACGTGCTCGAGGCTACAGCTTGTGGCTTTAGAACCAGAGATACTCGTACCAGCAGCAGCAGCAGTAGCAGCAGTATTTGTGCAATGAAGTGCAAGTGAACTTCAGTCTTAAAGCGACTGAAGATACTCGTACTCTCGTACTCGTACTTGCAGAAGCCAGCAATGTACCTGCCTTTTGAGGGGGCAGCGATGCGAACGTGAGAGCCAGACTCCATGACCACAATGGAGGTGTGTATTCCGCAGAGCTTTGGGGCGCCGCTACTCACGAGGCTTCCTGCTCATCTCTGAGGCATGAGGCATGAAACAAAACGGAAGCGGCGCCACCCAACAGCGGTGCGGCAGCGGATGTAGATGTGGAAGCACAGACACCGTTTATGTGGAGTTGCAGAAAATTGTTCAATAAATTTCAACACTCTTAAATTGGCAATGCTATGCAATGCGATGCGATCCAGCCAGTCACTGGAGAGGAAGAGACCCAACCCAGTCGCCAGTTCTCGATTGGTTTGTCCTGGATCCACGGGGCCGGGACAGGGGCAAAGGCAGGACAGCCTTAAAGCGTATGTGACCGGTGAAAATTGATAATCAATCAAATGCGAAAAGGCAACGGCGCTGACGGAATGACGGAACGCAACGCATCCTCCATGCAGCCCAAGAGCCAGAGACGACCACTTAATCACTGTCTGGTTATCCTTTTTGTTGCACTTGTTTCCTGTATATCGTATCGTATCCCATATGTACATATGTTTGTTTGTTTGTGCCTCGGCTTTTATCAATTACGCTTTTTGTGGACGACTGGAGGAGTGACAGAGATGAATCACAGGAAGCTGCAGCGAGAGAGCCACAGCCCCAGCCACAGACATAGCCACAACCCATTCCCGTTTATTAAATCAATTAACGCTTGAACGATAATTACTGAGGCAGAGCTCTGGTGCTCCACCGAAAGACAAGGAAACTGAATGGGGCTCCCACTCCAAGTACTCCCAATCCAACAAGCAGTGCAATTCTGTGGTTTCATTCCTTCGATCGAAGGAAACTCCTGTCTTGATGGAAAAACCGCAACACAAATTTCAACAACAATGTACATTTTCCTACCAAATGCACAAATGCAATTTTCATGTATCTGGATCTATGTGTTGTTGCTGTTGCTGCTGCTGCTGCCGTGTGTTGCAATTAATAAAATGTCCAAGTAAATTGTGAGCCACCGCAGCCCGAGATGTCTTCCGACATCTGCCCTCGCCACGTGCCACAGGTGTCCCCTGCCGCCTGTGTGTGCCATTATGTTGACATGTGGGCGCCTGCTGCGGTCGACTGTGACTGGAGAAAAGTGCAAGTACAATCGACATTCAACAATTGAAAGCCACTGCCACTGGCACTGGGTAAACGGCATTCAATGCTGTCCCGGCAACCGCAACAACAGGGTGTCTTTGGGGTCGGACCTGCTCGTATTCAATTACAAAAGGATTCCAAATCAAAGCGAGGGACATTCAGAGCCAGCATGTGCAGAGCAGTGCAGGCAGGAAAGGAACCCTAAACACCCTCGCTGGCAGGAGAATTCTCTAAAACAGAGCACCAGTGATATGGCCATTCGCGAATAGGGTATGCAACGAGCAGAATTATGAATTCTGCATAGTTCGGAGCCAAAGACAAACATCAGACACAAAGGCAGCCCCAGACAGGAGTCAAATAATTAATGGCCAGCAGAGGGGTGTGGAGGAGCAAAGGAGAGAAGGCAAACAAACAAGCCCGAAAAACGAGCAGAAACAAAACCGAAACGAAACTGAACTGAACTGAACCAAAAAAATCTCAGGAAAGTTCACCTTGGAAGCGCAAACTTTGGATACCCTTTACGAGGCTTTAATCCTTTTTTATGGTTTATGGATCGATCCTCCTGCCGTGAGGCATTTCATTATGTTTCAATGTTTCTTTAAGAGGATCCCAGGGTGCATACATCTTGGATAAATCCTCATTACCCTCTCGTTGAAGGGTACAAAAATCAGCCAAAAACAGATTTGCATGAACACAAAACGTAGACTAAGAGGCAGGACATTGGGGGGAACACATACATGTAGGTATGTGTGGGCTGGATCTGCCATCCTATAGCCGTCGTCGGTTGCCTTGGATGCCGTCAGTAGCTTGTTATCCACTGTCCTCCCTCCCCCTCCCACTCACCGGGAGATCAACCTGCCCGTTCCCGTTCGGCTCGTCTAGACTTTAAGTTGGCTAATAGCCGACACTGATGCGGCCGTCGCTGTCGCTATCCGACTGTTCTTTTCCTCCTCCTTCAGCTGCTGCTGGTTGCTATATTCCTCTTTTTTTATTGGACTGTGGACATCCGTCCGAGTGCTCTTTGGCCACGGAGCAGAGAATTAGTAGTAAACCGAATTTATGCTTTTGTATTACTTATTTGTTCCATTATTTGTACGGATGTGGTTTCACGGGATCCACGGAGTCCGAGAATGGAGCTTTGGCTTTCGCTTTTATTTGACTTTGGCCTTTTTTGTGACGCTGTTTTTTCTCTTTGGCCCAAAACGAACTCTGCTCTTGATAATGAAAAATAAACGTGGCTTCTGCCTTCTGGCCACCCCCCTTTAGCCTCTTTCTCTCTGAGTGGAGTCCTTTGTGTGGGTGGGTTGGAAATCCGTGAGCATAAAGATTATAACACACACAGGACGACAGGACTGACAGAACTGACAGACAGGCGGAGAGCAACAGGAAAAGGACTTAATTCCGAGAGCTGTTCGAAGATCCACTCATGTCCTCGATAGGAAGTGGACTCAGGAGCGACTCCTCCCAGCGAGAAATCATAAATTAATCGGATTTAAGCAGCTCAGTAGCTTATTTTTATGTGCCCCCTACGGAAACCCGGGAACCTCTGCTCCTGCTTCTACTATCTCTTCTCTGTTGTTTAATGAAAGAGGGATGCGACTGGGAATCGTGTACCGCATCTTTGATGAGCAGTGGCAGCGTTTAAAGCCACCAATTTTCTGGCTCCTCAGATGGGATGTCGATGAGGAGGAGGAGCCCGATGAAGGACTTCTTCTGCTGAAGAGCTAGAGAAGTTGACATGATTGGATGCTGATGATGACTGAGTTGATGATTTGTTGTCAAGGTGCACGCTCCTCAGCCCCCGGCCCCGCACCGAATGGCAGTTAGAGCATCGACTTGAGTCGAGAGTGGAGTTCCGCTGCATAGGACTCGGTGTCCTGGCAACGCAGGAGCTCATTACGAGGAAAGTTTTTACGCAGGAGCAGCGGCATTCCTTCCTTCCTTCCGAAGGATGCGGCTTAAGTGCGCCATTCTAAATTCAATTGAGCTTGAAGTGTTCCAAAAACGATGGCAGGCCACGAGGAGTCGAGGTGGATTCTGCCCCTGACAGGTCAACCAGGATAGGGGATAGTTCAGGGAGGGTCCCGGCGCAGCGCGATTCATGAGCAGACAAACCAAACAATCCCCAACGATTGGTGGGAATGGGACGGCGACGGGGAGCCGTGTAATCCATAAATATTTCCATTTCAAATTGTTCAAATTGCATTGCTTTTATGCTTTGTGATTTTCGCATAAATCTCTCTCTTGACTGATGCACTTTTTGGCCAACATTGTTCGCGGCCTGGCCTTCGTTCTCGTTGGCTAATTGACAGGGACGGACGGCTGCCGATTCTGTGGATGTGGATGCCACTAATTGGGACAGGACAGGACGTTGCGTCAGGCGTCGCGGAGTGTCTGATTTTAATTGATGGATGACATGCAACAAACCAATTTAAATGCAAGTCCATTTTAGTACGAGTGCTCATATACATATTTAGTTTTTTAAGTACTTACAGATCTTTGTGCGGGTAGTGGGAGTGAGAGTGCGGCATTGACACCGAAAACAGCTGTTAAAATAGAAAACTGCCCATCTAGCACGTGCCACGCCTACTAGCCTAAATGCCGCTCAGTGGAACCCATTTGTAATGCCAAAGTAAACAGCAAATAGAACATAAAACAGAACACAAAACAGAAATTTGTGTGTTTTATGTGTTATTTCTGTTTCACGTTACATTTGGAACGCAGCAAAGTACATACCCAACCTACATTTGGTGGGAGGGGGAATGTGCGGACAATTACCTACATTTCTATATGTCTCTGAATCAATAATTTCAGCAATGCCCACCCCCTCGACTCACAATAACAAAGCCTAACTCACTCCCTTCTTGCGCATACCACATTCCGATGGCAGAAATTCTATTAATGACGGGAACAGTATGGAATATGCCCCCCTGGCACCCCCTGGCACCCCCTGGCATTGGTTTCTGATAAGACGCGGTGGGGCGACGCTTATCGGCAGGGGTCGCAGATTGAGTCTGAGTCAGAAATGGAACTGCGGATTCCGTCAGGGCGGCGACGGGGAGCTCTATGGTTCATGGTTCGATCCATGATTCATCCGAGTCCGTTGCTAAGTTTCATGCCTGAATTCACTTTAAACCCGGTTTCTAATGACGAAATATTGAAAAGATGATTAATAATATTGATTCATTTAGTGGACTGTATGTATGTTATACCCAGAGAAAAAGATCTACATTTTTTATATTTTCACTTGGATTTAGAGAGTTGAAATATTAACATTGAAATTTAAATATGAAAATATTTTATATAAATTGATTATATTTCATATATAAAATATACAATATAATTATTTTAAAGTTTTTTATTTTTAGATTAAATATGTATGTGCAGTATTAAAAAGACTTTTTAATATATTTATGTTTAAATCAATGTTAATTCTATTTAATTTTACAACTTTCTCTCCTTTTCTCCTTTTCTCACCCACTTCTATATTCACTAGCTCATAAAATTGTCAAAATGATTTAGCAACGAAATTCGTGTGGCATGTCGCCACAAATGTAAAATTGTTCAAAAATCTTTTATGAATGTTTAACAAATTTCGGGTTTGGTTTTCTGTCTATATGCGAGTGTGTATGTGTATCTGTGTTTCTCTTTGTGTATCTGTGTACAAATTAGTTTGGCGAGCGCGAAATTTGTTGGGAAAATGGGAAATATAAAGTTCATTGGTTGTGGGTAACGTGCGCAAAAATCGCACGGAAAATGAACAAATCCAAAAACCGAACAGAGCAAAAAAAGAGCCAAAAACCTAACATATACCCGAGGATTTATTTTTGAACGAAAAGAGAAGCACTTAAACGCATAAATAAATTAACTGCTCAACTAATATGCTTTTTTCTGCTCGCTTTTCCATATTTTTCTGCCACCAAAACGAATTTTTATTTAATTTTTACGCGCTTTGCGTTTTCCGACACCGAAAGGCCATTTGTCAATCGAGGAATCGAGGAATATATATACATACATATGTACATATCTCGATGTATCTAGATATATAGTACATACATACATACAAATATGTGTCGGAGGTGGGCAGCAGGAATCCTCTTCTTCTTTCTCCTGCAACTCCCGGTTCAACTCTCTCTTTCTGTAATAGCTTCTTTCAGCTTCTGCACTACTGACTGTTGTAATACTCTCTCTCACAGAACTTCTGATCTTCCCTTACTTCTCCCTCACAGACACCAACACCGACGGCTGCGGTGACTCTCTTTCGCTCTCAGCAAACACGAATGGGAAGAAAAACGGATTGCTCTACTGCGTAGTTTCTGTCTTTACCGATTGATCATCATTCTTGATTCTATAGTAGCTCTACTTCAATTTCTAGTTTCCATGACTCTCAGAAACATACATACATATACATATACATATATGTATGTATATTCTAATCTTTTTTTGGGGGGAATTTGCTTACCTTCTGCACGAGGAGGGGCTGGGCAAAGTCCACGCCGCCCTGCAGCCGGAATCCCCAGGGCTGGGCATCGAAACGTGACAGCTTCACTTGCAGCAGTTGTGGTTGAGCCATTTTCTATTTGCGCAGACTGTAAGACAGAGAAGAGGAGAGCGTAAATAATAATAATATACTGGATATCACGTACGTCGACTAATTAATGAAATCAGAAACCCACACACACGAAAAAATACTAAAATGGAGGTATGGACCGAGATTGCTGCTGCTTTTTTTTGGTGGAGAGGAGCTCCACTAATAAAGACATTATTCAGCTATGTCTAGGCTAATCCTGCCACCAGTCGTAGACACCAGGACCAGCACCAGGACCTGCTACACTCTGGGTGCCAGCTGCAGCTGCCCCTGCCTCCCCCTGTTCTGTGTGGCAGGTTCGTATGCAGAAAAGCTCCCTCGAGAGTGTGCCCAAACATTCGGCTCACTGACTGCAAAAGGCTCTGGCACGCCATAGGAAGAGTCGACCTGGGGAATGCCCTGTAAATGTATTCCAAAGAGGCACACTCTTGGAGACTCATTCTAAAATAAATGTCTGTCTTCTCAGATAGCTTTCCGTTTGAATTTCCTTCAATTTCTAGATCTTAAACTCAGTCTAGAATCCCCTAGTTTCTTCTGTATGTCCTGCTGCTCTAAAGGTTCGGCTGTCCTCTCCCCAGGGTCTTGTACTAGAGGGCACTCACATAAAATGAGTTAAACTTTGTTAGATATCGCCTTTTTTTTGCACACACAGATTCTCTCTACACTCCCCTCCCCCCTGTAGCAGCCTTCTATCTGCAGTGAAGCCTGGCCTGCGTGGTGGCCACAGTGAGTGCTGTAAGCAAGCGCCACCGAAATGGCACATGCTGGGAGCCTGAGAGCCGTGTTGTAAGTGTGGCTTACATGGGTTCCCCCGACTGTGTCTCTCTGTCTCTCATAACTTTGTAATTTGTACGCCGTATGTGCGTCTGCAGGGGGGGGAGGGGAGGGGAATGGGTATGGTACAGGGTATAAGGGGTGTCTGTTGATTTAGTTTGCTGCATAACAATTTTGCTGAGTGTTGTGTTTTTTATTAGCAAAGACACATTTGTTCCTGCGTTTGGCTCTCCCTCTGTCTGTCTCCCTCTGTCTTTACATATGCACATATGTTTGTATGCATGTGTGTGTGTGCCTCTCTTTTGCTCTTTGTGCTGGCTCTCTTTTGCCCCACTTGTGGAAGAGAAGAGCATGTGGAAGACACTCAAAGTGGAAGTAACTACATTAAGCTATTAAAACGACAGCAGCTGGCAGGAGAGAGAGTCAGAGAGCAGGAAAAGGAGGAGGATGGGAGCATGGGAGCATGCGAGATGCGGATGCGGATGAGAGAGGAGTACCGTACCACATATGGAAAAGACACATTTTAGCACACACAGCAGTTTAATTAACGTTAAGTGCGGGTGGTAATGGCTCCATGGAGCAGTGCTACAGCCAACAGCCACAGCCAGAGCTACGGCTCCGACTCCATGGCTCCAGGAGTCCAGGCTCTCAGGTTCGAGGCGGCTCAGGCCAAGGCAGAGGCCGTAACACGTTGGCGGCATTTGCATGTAAATACTTTGTGCCCCATGAAGTTGGCCCATTAGACGCCCCAGCGAATCCCCCCGTCCCAAGCAACCGCCTAACGTGGAGTATGCACATGCACAGAAATAATTTAATTAAAATATTAAATAAATGCGAGAAGCCAGTGCCAGAGCCAGAGCTAGAGAGAGAGAGCCAAAGGCTTCAAAGTGCCAGACGACTGAAAGAAGAAAAAGCGCAACAACACGAAAGTGCCAGGGTGAACACGTTCCGGAGGAGCAGGAGCAGGAGTAGGAGTTGGAATAGGAGTAGCAGGAGCTATAGCTATAGGTGTTCTGTTCTGTTAGCATTCCTGGCTAATTACTGGCTCAAATGCTCTTGGCCAAAGGATGCTCTGCGGCTGACAAACCCATTGACAAGATTGACATGAGGAGACGAGAGTGCACCACCTAATAAATGTAGAATAAATGTATGTGTTTGCCCTAATACTATGAGCTTCTGGCTTCTGACAGAACCTCTGGATACCTATGGTTATTTGGGGGCCAGCTCTGTTTATCGGAGACCTACTTTCCATATGCCACCGGCAATTAGCACACAAATTATTTGACACTGGATCCGGAACCAAACTCAAACTCCCACCCAGACACCGGGACCTCCCCAGGCCTGGCCTGGCCCCCCTCCCCCTCAATACCCATGGCAGCTTCATGACTAATAACCTGTCAGAGGGGGGAGGCGGGTGGGGCCGGGGGACACGTTGGCCATTTCCTGGAACGCTAAAACCAACTTTTACAGCCCCACATACACACACACTCACGATTGGCAAATTACAATTTATTTATGCCCCTTGTGCAACCTGCCACTCTGTCATGCCACTCTGCCACACCCTCCGTCCGCCCCCCATCCGCACTGCAATGACTGAATTTTTGATTCAGGAGCGAAAGCAACAAATCAATTTGCATGCGCTAATTCCAAAGATTTATGGCCAACACATTTTGGTGGATGGATGGATGGATGCAAAGCACTGATATTCGCAGAAATTGAATAAAAGTTATTGTGTGGCCGAAAGAGTGGCAGAGGGAGAGAGTGAGAGATACAGAGAGATTGTGGCACGAAGAGTGGCGGAATTTTAAGTCGATTTCCTGCATTCGGATATGCAAAAATTATGGAAATGGTCGAGACGACACGCGGCAACCACACCCCTGTAGAGTGTATGCCCGGAAGTACTTTTGATTTTCTTCGATAAATCCACCTTCTTTAAGGGCATTCCTGGCTCCTACTACTGCTACTACTACTTCCTCCTTTATGACCATTTAAACTTCCATCGTAAACAGTTTTTACTCTATTGCAGGAGTATCGCTTTTGTCATTAGTAGTTTCCCCTCCTCTTCCTCCTCCTACACTCTCACCATAACAACAGCAATAGTGAAAACAACAAAATGGAAATAGAAGTAGAAGAGAGAACAGCGAAAACAGAAGACAAAAGAAAATAAAGAGCGAAGGGAATCGAACCACAAAACCGAAACCCAAACCCAAGTTGAACCATCAGATGTCAAAGCCGATGATGATGATTATGATGCTGCTGCTGCCACAGATGATGTCATGGTGAACGGTAGCTAGAAGAGAGTGGGGATGGAAGTTAAGTGGAGTGGAGAGGAAAGGCAGTTTTGGGTCGAAAATTTGATTCGATTTGGCCATTTCGCACGCTGCTCAACAAACGTGGAAGCATCCAACGAGCACGAGTACGAGTATCCCCTGCTTCATCTAAGTGCGTCTCTAATGGAGTTCGAAAAGAGCTTTCCAACCGAAATACAGTGGAACTTCTGGCTGCACGAGCAAGCTTTCAATGAATGGCCATATCGCTTAGAAGGGGCCAAACTGTGGCTCCTCTGTACTTTCCTCCTACTTTTCGGCTGTTTACTCTTGACTGCACATCGATTTCCACCTGAATATGTTTATCAATTGGCCAGCCTCCCAGCAGCCCTAATGAGCCACACAATCTCTAAACAAATTCCTTCTATAGCTGTATCTGTAGCTGTTGTGCTTTTGTGGATGTGTCTGTCTGCCTCTTGCCAGGCCTCTGCCTGCTCTCTCAGCACATTAATAAACTGCATGGCCAACAGCTCATTAAAAGGCACTCGAGTGAGGCAGCTACAGCTTTTGCAGCTTCCATACTTCCATTCTTCTGCTGCCCCGAAGTCGAGTCGAGTGGAGTGGCACCCAAAACCCTAAGAAGCGAGAAACTACTTCAAAGATGTTAATGCCCTTCGAGCGAGGGTATTTTGATTTAGATGAGATGCATGCAACGATGCATCTTTTAGGGTATCTTAAGCTTCGACACCCGAAGGCATGGCCTTCCATTCTGTTTGTTGTTGCTGGCTGCTGCTGTTGATGTGTTTGGCTCTTTGGGGCAAATAAAAGTGAGAAACCTCTGCTCTGCTCCAGAGCGACAGCCACAGCCACAGCGACATTCACCCACTAACAGGCAAAAGTTGGATTCGACTAGAATTAGGAGTGGAAAAAAGCAGTCGAGAAATAACAAGCCATGCAAATGCCCTATCAACAGCCACACAACCATATGTGTGGCAAAGTGCTCTGCTCTGGTCTGCAGTTTCCTTTCCGCTGCCCCCAGGGGAAAACGGTGGCGGTGGCGGAGGGGGTGGGTTAGGCGAGCGCCAAGTAGCGAACGCGTTGATTTCGCATTTATGCAAATTTCACGTACACTTCAAACTGCTCAGCGCCCTTTTTCTCTCTCTCTCTCTCTCTTTCTCTCAGTCTTTTCTCTGCCCCTCTCCACTCTTCACTCTCTCCCCTTACCTCCACTCGAAACCTTATTTTTTCTTCTTCTTTGGTGCTGTTTTTTGTGCGCCTGACGCGCTTTTGTTGGCCTGGCCAAAACTAAACTTTGGCTGCTGCTGAGTGAAACTGAAGTTGTCAGTGGGGATCGAGGGAGACCAGAGTGCGAGAGAGCAGGGGATTGTTAAAATTCAGCCGAGGGCCGAGTGATTTCTGTGTACCCTGTAGAGGGGCAGAGTAGTGGAGAAAGGGTACACGTTCATGTGTTGGGGGAGCAGTAAAGGAAGTTTCACTTTAAGCAAAAACTGTTTATACTGTTTTCGGGCTGTGGGACCGACTCAGCTGCCCAAGACGAAAGCGAGTAGGCAGTAGGATTGAAGTACAACGAAGCATCGACCGAAAATGGAAATTAAATTTGTTTCAGATGCCATATCTTGGTATTGTGCAGTCTTTGCTTTAAACCATACTCTTATGGCCCAAAGATAGGATTGTAGATAATTAGATAATCAGGTAGACACTTCATACAAAGCGAGGCTTTCAAGTACTTTCAAGTCGACTATGCAGGGTGTTCTCTGTGTCGATGCCCCGATGCACTCGCTTTGACTGCTTCCTGCACTGATGCAACGTGACGTGACGTGACGTCATGTGTGCGCTCGTGCTTGCGGCTGCCAGGACATGCCTCCCGCCCCACCCCCACCGCAAACTCTGTTGCTCTTCAGGCTGTCGCTGTCTAATGCAATGCGCGTGCTAAATGGGC